AATGCTCAATAGGCGCACACATCCCATCAGTGAATAATTGTAGTTACTTATAAAGGAACTAAGTTGTTTTCAACTTGCATTATGTTTTCAAACAGCCACTAAAGTTGTTGGACAGAAATATTTACTGCTTGGACCTAACCAGGAAATAAGTAGAATTGTTGCCTAGGGGTGTTGTGAAAACTTTATGAAACGGCAAGGATGCTATGGAACAAAAAGAACCTCTGGCTGACTGTTATGACCGGCAAAGGTAGTTTCTGATAAAAAGGTGCCTATTATTTCATTATAATTATACCTTTAAAGTCCAAGTTCATAGAGTACTTCACATCCTGTGATGCGGATCTCCAGAATACAGTCATATAGCTTTACAGCTTATATTTGAAATAAAAATATATGAGGAAATAAAAACAAGGGGACAAAAAAGCCCTCAGATAGACAACTTAGGTTGAGAGTGGGTGATACAACCTTCCTGTTTATACCCATGCATGATTTCAGTCCCAATTTGACTCAAATTGTGCTACTTGGAAAGCCTGAAAATAATCTTACCACTAGACATAAAAAACAGTCAATCTGTATTATCTTACAAGTATGTGATACCAAAGAGTAGCAAAAGCTCTTCTTTTAAGATCCAGGAATTTAAATCACCACCTCACATTCCCACCTTTTAGCCAGGTTGTCAGAACCACCTTTCATTTCCCACGTGTTGATCTTCTCTTTACTTCATCTTCTATTGAGAGTACAATTATGAAGTAAAGTCTTCACCTTTATTGAAGCATGAGTGGGTCTATGAAATAATGAGGTAGCCTGTGAATTTGACACATCTGTCTGTCTGACAGGCTACTTGGTCTTCCTCTACTGTGCTCTTTTCAGACAGGTAAATGTAGGAAAATTAAACCTGCACAAAACTGATGTTGTCTATTATTTTTTAACAAATTAGTTTCCAAGAAAAATAAGGAGTGCTATAACTTGCTTTGTGACTGTCACACTTACTGCTTACACTGGTTCAGACAGTGCACTAGACAGCGTTCATGGCTCTACTGGGCCACAGACATCACATTTAAATTCAAGTGAACATCTTTCTGGACTAATTGTCAAAAATGAGTGACAATAAAAATGAGCAAATTACTAAAAAATAAATTATTACTTAAGAAAATGGGCAAGTCAGAGGGTTTTTAAAAAAATGCAACAAAACATAATTATTTTAAACAAAATTTAAAATGAGTCAGATATAGTACAGTATTCATTGCACACATTTTTAATTGGCATTTCAGAAAAACCTTAATAATGTGGTTAATAGTTGTTTTCAATAGGATTTTTTAGTAACATATCCAAACGATATATAAAATAGGTCTTTTATATCAGCTATTCAGTCATACAGCAATTCTTTACAAGACAGGAAAATAAATTGTATGGGAACAGGTACTGCACTTTCAAATACAGAATAGTGCCTTTTAGTCAACTCTGATGTAGTTCTGTTTGGTCTTTCCCTTTATGCCACATATTTAATAACTATTTCTTCTGCAAATACAAGCAAAACACTAAACTAAGCACTAGGGATACAAAGGTTACTAAGATGTGGGTCTTTTGCTTACAGACTACTGTATTCCGTCACAGAAACCTGAACACAATGCCACATAGCATGGAAGCATTAGACTAAATTGCTATGGGGACATCAGCACTTGGTTCAGGCTGATTTTCAAGTAAATTTACTTTACCAAGTAAATTTCAAGCTGGAATTTTTAACTAAATTCATTATTAGCTCCATATGAGACAAAAACAGCATTAAAATTCTGGGCACATAGTTCTAGATAAAGTTTACAAGCCAAAAATGTTATCCCACAATTTATCCTAAAAAGGCCTATATAAACTATGTTCAAAAATGATCACGCCAATCTAATTATATCAAAATTTCCAGGAGTGCTGCAGCCCAGGCAACCAATATTTGTAAAACATCCCCGGATGATTATAATGTGCACTTCAGGCTGAAAACTGCTTCACTGATTAAGACAAAGCCTAAGGACTAACTTAAGCTCAGAATGAGACCAAGAAAAAGCCAGGGTTCTAGGCTGGGCTAGTGGATACTTGAACCCTAAGACGATCCACAGGCTGAGATTATTTTCATAGCATTTCACGTAGGCCTATTTTTTTTATTCGTGCTAATAATATAAGAGGGAACATTTCATGTGAAGTAGCTCATGGTACTTCTGTGCATCAGTCAAGAAAATTAACTAATTGCCAATCCTCAAAGATATGTGTTGCCGAAGAAGTCTAATTTTTTTTAGCTTCACTTTGTAAAGCCAGGGTAACTGGAGCCTGTAGAAATCATAAATTTTGGGTAATGAAGACTGAGTCCTGCTAGGTCACTTTCACCATCTACTTCCAGAAAAACACCTGCATAATGCTCAGAGAGGACAAAATACAACATATCAAGTGCATAACCAGGTACCAAAACCTGGTGCTACAGACTGAGTTCTAAAGAAATCAAGGGAAAGAAGAGACAAGAATGAGCTGGAGTGTGTGGGTGGGGCAGGTCAAAAGAAGGAAGAAGAGCAGGCTGACAGACTTAGGCTTGAAAGCTACAGAAAGCATTCCAGCAATCCAAGGAAGGGGCATAACAAGGAACAGCAGGAGGAATGCTGGGCAAAGCCTGGTATTTTGGGAAAGCGCTGAAGGCCAGTTTCCCTAAAGGAAACCAACACTGGACAAACAAGGTGGGGTCAAATTATAGAAGGTCTTGATAAGACAGGTTGAGGAATCTGAACTTAACCTTACTGAAAAATGGGATTACAGTTTGGTTTAATACCAAAAATAATTTTAGAAGAGTCTTGTGGTAGGTAAAAATGCAAGATGAATTGAAATTGGTACCAAAGAGAAAAACACCAGTATTTTCCAAATACAGTTCTCTGTACTAGACACACATGTTTAAAAATGTCAAGTTTTTAAAAATGAACACTCTACAATATATATCTTGGCATAGTGCCAAACTGAATGTCAAATAAATTTTCTAAGTCCAATGATTTACAAAAAGATCTGTTTGCTCTTAAATATTAATATTTTAAGTAGTACCGTAAGATTTATAGTAAGAAAGCTAATAATACAGCTAAAAGATTATACAACCACCTCTGCTAGCTTTACAGAGAGGCAATATTCAAACTTTCTCCTCCTGAATTCCTTACACAGTCTAAAGCTAATAAAGATAAAAAATATAAATCATTAAAGCAAAAAATTTAATAGTCTTTTTCCTTAAGATGAATGTTAGTACCAAAATGGATAGGTTAGGTACCTTTGTCTTTAACCACAGGTTTCTGACCTTGGAGTAAAACATAGCAATAATCCTAAGAACTATAGATAATGCATATTTTGCAGATTAGAAACTAGAACACCCATCATTACCTGAACTATGATTTAAGAAACATTTAGAATTTAGGTAAATTAGGAAATCACCTGATATCATGAAAAAACTGAAAAATATTTCATATATTAAACCAAACCTTTCCCCCAAATAGTTTTAATTAAGAATTCATTAGCATATGAATACTTTTGTTATAAAAAATCTGCTAGGCAAATTAATATTGCAGCATATTATATTAGCCTTAAGTATAAAGAGTTTGAATAAATTATGTACGTACCGGTTGAGTAAAACCCTTATGACTAATACTGGTTTCCTAAAACACTTTTAGTCCCTTCCTGCTCAAACCATGTTATTCTATGTACCAAAAAAAATGTATTTCTTATACATTGTTGTTTGCTTAAGAGTTTTCTTTATGTCAGGACAAAATTTTGGTATTTTAAAATATTAAGAACAGGTAAACACTTTAACAGATATTAGCAGTCTACATGCAAAGATTATTGCTTTATACTTATTGGCTATGGAGTAAGTTTTATAGTTTAAAACATCTGGGCTTTATATTTATAAGGAGACACTCAATCAAACATTCTTTTTAATTTGTAAAGATACGATGAGTAACTAAGTTGATCTTAACATAGCAAAAACATGACAAAGAACAAGTAGTTATCATTACAAAACCTCTAAAAATACTATCACATTTGTGCTGACACATAAAATAACTCCAGGTATCTTCCATTAAGAAAATCTTATATTAAGAAAAAATGTAATATTCAAACCAGTCTTTATTTTCAGACACTGTGTGTCTGCCCACACAGTAACCCAAACCTTATCATTTTACTCTTTTCCTTGTGTGGTACAGTGGTCATTTTCTTTAAAAGACTATTAAAAATGATTTTTAAAACAGTATGAAACATGAGAATATAAAAAACAAAGAAACGAACAGTCTGAAACAAACCAAAACAAGCCCTGGAAATCTGACAGCAGAACTGAGGAGATCAGAGCAGGAGGCTGAAGGAGGGGTCAAAGGAGGAAGAGGCTCACAGGCCGGTGGAGGAGGGTGACCGGTGGTTTGGTGGTGGACCCTGGGTGTGAGAACATACACCTTAAAGCATACCCAGCGTTACAAGTCAACTTTACCTCACTACACATAATTTTAAATAAGAAAATAAGTGTGATAAATCACACACAATTTAAGAAGTTGTTTACAATTCTCTTACTGAAAATATAAGGTCTCCAATACAAGAGACTTCATTAAGATTAGGTATTTTTTTTCTTTTTTTAAGATTAGGTATTTTTTACAGACTATAACTGGCCTACAAGAAATTCTGTTCTTCACCGTCAAATGTCAAGCAAACCATTTTATGGGTTTAGGTGATGTGATATATAAATCTTTGGAAAGATTCACTTTTAGAAGCAGCAGCAGAACACAAGAAAGCACAAATTGGTACGAGAACCTGACTCTCCTCCTAAGTCCACCAGAAGCTTACACCAGGGAGAAGAAAAGGAAATGTTTGATTAAAAGATAATGAAAGCACATTCTACTTGAAGAAATGGTACAGGGGGTGTCAGGGATTTTGCTGACAAAAATGTTGGGCTTAAATTATTTCAAACCCAGAGACCACGATCAGCTAGCTGGGCTACACAGATGACTTACAGAGCACGGCCACAGCCCCAGACTCGAACATGAGACATTCTTCCTTATGCCTCGTTTCCACTATGAGGCTGAAAGGTGGAGGATCCAATTTGTGATAAATCCGAAACCCTTTGCTGAACGCCATTCTTCTTTCTTCAGAAGCAGCCCTGTGAAAACCAAGCAAAGCCAAGCAAATGAAGGGAATGTTTCCTTCTGCAGGCAGACTGCAAGGCATCCAGAAGGCACTCCCTGCCAGATCTGATGGGGGG